TGCATAATGTAGCATGTTATTAGGTAGACTTAAATTAACATTTATACTAATAATTTAATGTTTGTTGGAAAAAAATATTAATATATAGAAGTATTTTTTATGTTTAATACTTTTTTAATAAATAATATTTTTGTGGTGACTGGAATTAATGTATAACAATTTCCATTGATTAATTATAAAGGAAGGAAATTATTTATACAATAACTTTATATAACTTTTACAAATAAAAGGAGATATATTTTTTTAAAACAAAATAAATACCATAGAAATTTAAAAAATAAATAAAATTGTATAATTTTATCATAAAATTAGAATATCTCTATTTGTAAATATAACACCTTATATGTCACGCCAAAATTATTATTAACATCATCATCTATATTTGAATACATAACCAACGTTATCGACAACTTAGTTTTGGCAAGAAGATTAAATAAAATGCAAGAAAAAAGGGTTTGAAAATAAATCTACCATCAATGATTAACGGGAAGCCAAATGCATCACATCAGCCATTGGTATAAATAGCAGGGTACAACTAGATGCGCTTAACACGGTTTTGTTTTCGTGTTAAATTCGTAATCACTTGATCGCATCATCACAATTTATTCTTACCTAGTACCAAATCTTGAAAGATAAAACTTTTAAGAATTATTTTTTATATATAATTTACATGCTTTTTCCGACATTAATTTTTTTTCATAATATAATTTCAATTATAATTTTTTCTCTTCAATTAATTTTTATTTAATTATAGAAAATATTTTTTTATCAAATAAATTTTTGATTAAATTTTCTTAAGATACATAACCTATCATTATTTAATAAAATTTGAAATTATAAATATTTTTTATAAAATTATTTAAAATTTAAAAATATTAAATTAATGTTCCAAAATCTTACTAATTACTATGATACTACTAATTAACGCATAAATATACCGATTTAAGTGGCTTAGGACACCAACCCTTTCAAAGCCTAAAATTGCGCACTAAGTCGGCGTTGGCGTGGGCACTTGCAAATATTTAATATTACACTTACACGAGTAGTGCTGTCCTTTCGATCGAGCCACCCACACCCATCCTGGCCTGAACACACTCACGCCAGTTTTGCCTGTCACGACTCATCACCATTTTTTGTTGCTAGCCATACATTAAGATTTTTACCCATTTTATCACTGTTTCATCTTCCCCTGCTTGCTACTCGCTACACAAATCCACTTATCATAACTAATTGGACAAATTGTTCTAAAAGAAAAAAAAAGAGGGTCAAATTAATTAATGACGTAGTCCATTTAATAGTCCATTTAATTTACTTGATTGAATAATAATTAACATCTTGACGTTAAAATTATATATGTACATCTTAATTATTGACAAAAGTTTGGCCACCAACTTACAAACATAGCGAATAGCTATGAGGATCAATAAAAACCAAGTGTACAAGTCTATGTTGTCAAACAGGTACCCTTCAGCTCTGGTACAAACTGGCAATTCATCTGATAAGAGGCTTCTGAATTATTAGAGACATGAAAATGACGTGACAGATAATGAAAATTGAAAAAAGCAGATTGAACACTGCTATATATATATATATGGTCTTCATGTCACCCCTTCTTAATTAACTTCCCTTTCTAAGCTGGTGATTAATAAATTAATTATTCAATTTTGTATAAAATCATTAATTTCAATTAAAAAACATGATTTTGTTTAATGAACTAATAACGGTTATTACGAGTACTCAGTTTATTCTGTATGTGGTAGTTATTACTTACCCCCACCACCCTGCAGACTTTTCTGTACGTATGTATATATATAGATCTATGGATGTAAGGCTGGCACAATTAGGGTATATATATGAGTCTTAACTGTCAGTTAGTATTTCCACGGAACAATTTTATGATAAATATTAGTAGTTTAGGAATAAAATTTAATAAGGGACAATTAGATAAAGTAGGGACTAAGTCTCCAATTCTCTAATCTCGGATGCACAGATAAACCGAATCATTACACCAGAAGCAACCTACTACTAAGAATTACAACGAATCAGTTCTGAGAATAAATCAATCAATAAGTAAATAATGAATGTATAAATTATGATATAGTTATATATCTGCAGAGCAAAAACGGTATGGTAACTGCATCCGCGTATATATACACCATGAAATAATATAAAGGTGCCATCCCATCAAATATCTCTTCGGCTATATTTATACGAGAGTCCCCGCGTACGGTCTATACTGGAAAATGGTTGCGTCACAATCCCGTCCATAATCAAACTAACAGCTAATTATCATTAATTTGATTAGTAAAATATAAGTGTTGATTAAACTCGAGGTTCTTCTTTAATTATTAATAATTAAATTAATCAGCATGCATGTACACAAAAGTAAGGTAAATTAGATGTGCCTTTCTTAGCGTGAGATATGCGGATCAGCTAACGGTACGTGTCTTAGATAGCCAAAAGTGTGTGGATCAGGGTTTTGTACCTCTATGTAGATGCTTACGTAAACAATGTATATCACTAGTTATAATCAATGCCACAGTTTTAAGAACGATATTAATATTTCATTAAGATCAGCTTTTTTACTCTGAGGAGGATAATTACTGAGATATGATTAAATTAGTTTATGTTAATTATTTAGGTCATATATACGATTGGAATGGTTAAATGAGAAATAAAAAGTTTTGGGTTATATAGATGGGTCGATTTGTTTGGATATAATAAGATGATGGTACGTGGGGTGGGTGGAGGGTTTGAAAGAGTGAGTTTTTCTACATCTTTTTTTTTCGTTAGTTTCATTTCATATGACCACATGGGTCATGCAGACACTTCCCTGTACTTAATTAACATTATTTATATTTGGTATATATACACATACATACATTCATGGTGGCACATAGGGCCCTCTACCAATATTAGAAGGTCAAGCTATCCCTACCATTTATTTTTATATAACACACTTCTCACCATAACACATCGATCCCTCTCGCGCGGTTTTGTATACAGTACTGAATCCTAAGGGCAAACGCAAATGTGGAAGTGTAAGATAAACTTCATTTTCGACTTAATAGAAGATATTCTCCTCGTAAGATTTCTCTTAAAAGAAAATCACTAAATACTCGGCTGGAACAATTTACGATTGAGATCAATATATATGTAATTCAATACTCCTTCTCTTAGGAAAAGAAACGTTTTTTTATTGCTGGGCGTGTTATTTTTTGAGTGGCCATTTTGAAGCAGATAAAATTAAGGTGACACGTGCGTGGGCACATGTCACGTATAGCTTTTTATACATGCCAATTAATGATACGTATGTGCAAGGGTAACACGGAGATAATAAGCTTTCGCTATAAATTAAGACGAATTTATTCCTTATCTCCTTTCTTGGCAAAACAAGGCTCATAGCAAGAAACTTTCGGATGAAGTAAACTCCGGTATATGTGTTATGTGTAGTAATACCATTTTTCTATTACATGAAACATAGCTTACTTAATTAATTATGGTAATCTAGCTAGACTTGGTTCTAGGCCTTTCTTAAGGAAATATCGTTTTCTCTATTCAGCCCATATTAATGAAACCCCAGAAGAAAAGTGAGACGTATATAGACGGCATTGCCCAGAATTCGGAAACGTTACTTTTGGTTGAAGATTGATAGTTTCTATTATTTTTAACTCGTCTACATGTCATTTCAAGAATCAAAACTTAACTAAAACCAAAAGTACGGGAATATCTTTAGTAGTGTGATTTAATTAGTTGGGATAATAATAATTATTTTTTTAAATCTTGATCAGTGATATTAAAATTGGCTTACACACATATTGCCTAATTAATTATTCTTGTTCGATAAAAGGCAAAATATTCACGCTAAAGCTAAAGAATTTATAAGAATGTTTCTTATAACTTTACCTTTAACAGTTGATACGGCATCGTTAAAAAAACTAAATGATATATGTATTTATTTACACATCATACACTCCTCGGATGTGAAATTAATATCTCTTTTATATTTTAGGTTTTCTATAAATAGTTTAAAAAAATCATTCTTGTCGAGACATGATTATTCAATATATAATTACGTATTAACTATTAATTTATTTCTCAGTGAAAATTGAAACTATACTTAATTTATAAAAGATTAATCCTTTCTGCTAAATCTAACCTACGTGCTGTTGGCATTATGGTATTAAACGAATTTCTCCTGGGTTTGAAACTGTTCACCTATTTATTATCTATGTAATGATAACTTTTTAGTAAAAACGTATGTTGTCTTATTCATTTTTATAAATGAGTTTTTAAACGTGTCATCCATATGTATTTATGATTTATGAGCAATATATTGTACAAATTATAAATTATACTTGGTAAATGCCAAAAATTCAAATTTCTACATATTTAAGTACTTGAGTTGAGAAAGCCATTCTTTTAATCAAAAAGCCAAATTCTTACGTTACATCTACCAACATCACACTGGTTTGGGACAGGGTGGAGATGGTGAGTGCTGCAAAATATTTAGGGTTAAAACACTCCGTTACTTCGTCTATTAAAAAAAAAAAAAAAAAAAACTTAGGGTTTCAAATAACGCCTCAGTCTCTACCTAGATCCACCCTCCCATAGGGACGGTGTACGAAACGCACCAATGGGAATCATTTAATGTGCAAAGGGCATGAGCAGCACTTTTAACCTTGGATGACACGATAGGCACAAATTAATAAATGAAACGCTGAAAAAGGGAGAGCGTAAGACATACGCGCGAGTACTGTACTTACTTTTCTTTTTACCCTTCGGCCTAGGGTTTCCTCGCCGTCCACAAAGCCCATTATAAATGGTTAGCGATAAGAGCCGCACATTCTCGCCACGTGGTGATCATTTATTGGTTTATTTTTTCTCTCTCCTCGCACTCTCTCTCTACATCTACAATTTCTATGCATATGGATCCTACATAGACATGACTTGCTACGGTGTTTTTTTTTAATATACAAAACAAGCACACCTTCTTCCAAGGACAAGAAGATAAAAATTCTCTCTCTCTCACGCACTCCCTCTCTCTCTTACTCTCTCTCATCCCGAAAGAATCGAAACCCCTCTCTCTCTCTAGGGTTTCTGCGTCTTTCGCACTCAAATTATGCTGGCGTAGCTGGGAATCGAAGCTCCAAGCTGAGCTGAGTGGGTTCTCCGTCGAATGCGCTATCTTCGGGTGTGGTTTTTTGGAGGAGCCGTTGAGAATCGGTGAGGAAGTGGGAGAGATCGTGTGTGGTGGTCCGCAGGTGAGTTCGGGTGGGCCTTCTTCTTCAGATTTTTCTTTTTCGCCCTCGGTTTTCAACTCGGTGATTGATTCCGTGTTGATCGGGGACCGGTTCTTGGATGCTCTCGAGCGTGTTTTGATTTGTTTTAGATATTAAGGTCGCTGTACTGTTTATGGTGTGTCCACTTCAGCTTTTGCTTTGCGTTTCTTTTTTTTTTTTTTCTGGGTCTTGCTTTATTGCTGCCATTTCACGCTTTTTTTTTAATTTTTTTCTCTCTCGTTTTCGTTGCTCTTTAATTCGAGCTGGGTTAATTTTTGTTTATCTTTGATAAGTGGTGAATTTATGTAGGTCGGTGAACCCTAGGAATTTTGCTTAGTTGATTGTCCCGTGTCGTTTCAGCTCTTTGCATGCGTTTCACAGGTGGGTTTTTTTCTACCCTCGCGTCAATTCATGTACTGATGACAGTTTCGTGCAAGATTACTAGTTTCGCCTTGAATTTTGAAAAACCCTAGTAGGATGCGGGGTCTTGTTAGCGGTGTGGATGTTTCAATCTTTGAACTAATTGTATGGGTGGGCTGGTTTTTTTTTTTTTTTTCTGTTGTTGCGTTTCAAATGTTCAATTATTGACTTGAACTTATGGCTGGTTGGTTTTATTGAATGGGAAACTAGGGTTTAGGAACTTTCTTATTCTTAGAGGTTATCATTTTATGTGACTAATCACTGTGTATGAAGTTTGCGTTGGTTCTATATTACTTCATCTTGGACTTTGCCCTTGTTTATCATGTCTTTCCTTTTCATTTGTTAGTTGATTTACATAAACCCTAACAGCTTTACAAAGCTAGATTGAAGTGTTATCATGCTTATGATGTTTTCCTTATGTTTCTATAGATCTGTTTCTATTGTTTGACTTAATTGTTAGCTCCGTTCTCTCCATTTCAAGTTTTTATTTGAGTTTAATTTGTGTGGATAGGAAAAACTTTCTTTGTGCTTCTAGCTGTGGTTACTTGTACAGCGTGGATGTGCATGCATAGCTGTGGAGAACTGTTTGTGAGGGGATTTCAACACTGTCACTGAGTTCATGGGATCGTATATCCAGATTGATTCAATCTCTATAGACCTTGGCAATTCTATTGGTAAGAGAGATCCAGGAAAATGTGAACATTTCTCAATACGGTACGTATGCCTCAATGCTTCGTATCCTTTCAATCCTATTAATTTTAAGGAGAGGGGAGCATTTAGTGTGTCATGCAATGTCTGGCTCCGTGTAGTGTATACTGTATAGTATCTTGTAATTGATATCTAAAGTTGATGATATTGTTCTTATAACATGAGATCCTAATGTATTTTTGTTCTCTATCGTACAACACTGCCATATAAATGATTACAACTACTAGCTTAATTAATGTTGAAAGCCAATCCATCAATGCATGGCAATAAGGTCTCATGAACAATCAAATGGGTGGTGATGCCTATAGAAAGTTCTGAATATTACAGAATTATGTCAAGAAGTGTCCAGTTGTAGTTGATTGGGAATATAACGAACTCATTCTCTCTCCCCCCCTTCTCTTCCATCACCACTAAAAACAATCTGCAGAAGAGTGTTTTTTTTTTTTTAATTTGAAATCAAAATCTATCTCTTGGTTCTCTTTCAGATCCTTAACACTATCTTAATTTATTGCAATGCAGTGGATATGTGTCTGAAATTCGCCAAAAAGACTGGAAAATTGGTTGGCCATTTCCTGTACATGAATCTGACAAGCAATCATCACTTCCGCCATTGGATGTTCCAAAATACAGATGTCGGTGTCATCAAAACTCCTCACAAGAGATTGCCACCAAGGACTTCCAGAAGGATGACCAAAAAGAATTTGATTGTTGCATTACCGGATGCAAATCTGGTACTAATTGCAGTAATGCAGCTGTCGCTGTCAAGTCTGGTATTCAGCAAGATCCAATGCTTGACACTCTTGAGAGAAGAGAAATTGATCTTAATACTAATCTGAGCTGTGTCAATGATTACTTACCAATTAGTGATGAGAAAGATAAGAAATCTGGAGTTGTACTTAGCAGAATGGGTAACTTCAATATCAGTTATATTATAGTATCTACATTATTTATCAATATGTTGTTTGATTTTGTGTTTTTCCCGCAGACCTTGAAATTGGCTTGGAGGATAATCTCAATCACCAAGTAACTAGTATTTCATCTCCTAAAAATTATCCAGACCTTGCACCAGAAATGCATACAAGTAAAAGAGGTAGGTTCTTATGTATTATATAAGTGACAGATTTCTGTATATTATACTAGTATGTTCCTGTTTTCTAGAGTGCATTTTAAGTAATTTTTTTTCCTGAGACAGGATGTGAAGGCAATGAAATTCCTTATGTTGAGCTTGCTAGCAATCTCAAATACATGGATAATAAGAGTTCTACTGAGATGTGTAATGGGGACACACCAGCAGATAACCAATGTCAGAAAAATTTAACAAAAACTTGTACAATTTTGGGGGAAGGAGCCACTGTAATGGAGGTAGGCAATATATATGATCGCACAACTGGACCTCCTCCTGAATCAGTTGCTTGTTATACTGCACCTGCAGGAAGTATGGACAATATGGTTGAAAATGATTTTCAGGATCATCATTTAGAGAAGTCCACTAGTTTGTCTCGTAGGAGACCTCGGAAGGTGCGCTTGATGACTGACTTATTAAGTGACAATGGTGAAATGAAGCCTGAACAAATCTTCATGCAAGAATCTCCATCCCATGGTACTTCCAATGTTTCTGCAACTTCTCAAGCACACTCAATTTTAACAGGAAAAATGGATATTCAAGGAGGATTGACTTTGACAAGTACAGCTCTGAGTAGAAAAAGGAAGTTTCTTCTGGATGAGGTACGGAGACCTGCAAGTATGTGTCTTCAGAGGGTTGAAAATGAAGTTCAGAACTTAGAGGGAGATGCAAAAATCACTGACACTGTTTTGGATAATAAATCCACTTCCAAAGATGTACCTGCAGGACTAAGATTACAAGATGCCTCAAAGGGCCACTGGAGTAAACCTGAAATTCAAAGAAGCCATATTGTGAGTAAGAAGAAAAACAAAAAGATTCAAGTTGTAGAGAAATGCCTGATTCCCAAGCCACCACAAGGAAAGCAAAGAGAAAATAAGGACACCATGGATGCTGCAGATAAGGCATGTGTATCTAAAAGTTTTTCTTCAAAATTAGCTGCTCGTTCATTCATTGGGAAAGGGATGGATAATTTTCCTATCCACACCCTAAGAATAGAAAATGACTTCAATTTGTCCAAAGAAAAGGGGAAAATGCTGCAAACTGATGGGGAACTGGATTCTTTATCCTGCCAAAAAAATAGCATGCTTGTACAAGATTCCTTTGCATATTCAGGGGAAAAAAACAGGTCTGGTATGCCTGTGAACGTTCCAATTCCTTCAGCCCAGGGGATGCTAAATGGAAAAGGACTGGAAGAGGGACTGCACCTTTCTCTAAACAGTTATTTGGCGGCACATGTTTACAACAAAAAATGTATCCATCAAATTGAAAATCATCTACCTTTCTCTTTGCCTTTTCAAGAAGGAACTTCAAAAGTACCACAACTTAATAGGAAAGACAGTGATGCCAATGTTTTTGAAGGGTCAAGCATTACTTCCAAGCACCCAACAAATACTCTTTCTGGAAAAGGAGTTCATAGTGAAGTAAGTTGCCACAAAAGCCCCCCTAGAATGCTTTTTCTTAATTAGAGGAATAAGTATACCTTAGGATGAAGATGAGATTCGTTTATGTGATCAGCAAATGGTATTATGTTTTCACCCTAATTTGTAAGAATTGGAGTATCTTAATTGGTAATGTATTTCTATTGATTTTCCATTGTGAACCAGTTTGACCTGTTTAAACTAATTTCTGAGAATATCATCTTTTTCCTTTTGTAGGAAATTAACGGTGCAAGAAACACACAAAAAACTATTGAAGCTGTGGTAGATGATATACCCATGGAAATTGTGGAACTATTGGCAAAGAATCAGTACGAGAGGTGTCTTCCTGATGCAGAAAATAGAAGCTCCATATTGGAAAAGTCCACTATGGGAAGGAAATCACAGATGATAGGTGACTCTACTGTACACAGCAAAGGGGAGATGAGCTTGTTAAAAGAGAGTCAGAAGGAGAAACCTCAGGGAAGACATAAGAAAAACAGCATGGTCATGAGAGGAGATAATGTGAAGCCTGGCAAAAGAAAGCCAGTTCATTACTTTTCTCCATTTGATGGAAACAGTTTGGGTATGAATAATCTATGTCCACCTCAATCCCCCTTTGGATTTGAAGTTCCCCAGTCCCAAAAGAAGTCATCAAGTGGATTCCAGTTTTCACCAATGAGTTCTAGCCAGCTTGGTGGTTCTCGAAATTGTAGGTTGAATGGGAGTTTTGAAGAGCGGGGTTCCTCTAATGCAACTTTGCAAACCCCAGGAGGATGTAGCTTACACAAGAATATCTTACAACAGGATGATGAAGCTTCTCGCATCTGGGCATCCTTGACCCCAAACCATGTTTCCCTAGGATATGATTTACCCAAAAAGGTTGTTTCTCCACATACTAGTAGTAACATGGATATAACTTCACTCCGAACTGGTCCATTTCATAAGCAGAACATGAAGCGGGATATTGATCTTAACTACATGAATCTCAATGCTGCGGGGCTAGAAAAACTTAGTAGGAATACAGGTCCTGGAGCCTTCGGCAGGTTGAATGGAGAATACTCATTTCCTTGCAAACATAATGGAATGGAGCCTCATCAAAATTTGAGGGGATCTCTTGATTTGTATTCTAATGATACAATACCAGCCATGCATTTACTCAGCCTAATGGATGCTGGTATGCAGTCACGTACACCCTATGATGTAGGTGTCAGTGCTCAAATGCTTAAAAGGCCCTCTTATCCTGGTGATTGCAATACTAAGTTGGAGATTGGTACATCCAAGGCCCACAGTGCCCTGAAAAGGCCATCATCTGATTATTACAGCAGAAGTTACTTATCAGATAAACCGCATGGCTATTTTATTGGTTCTCCATCCTTTGGTGCTTCTTCATCAACTCAGCATGATAAGAAATTTATGAGAACCACTGGTTTCAATGGCCAAAATTCAACAAAGTCTGGAAGGAAAGAAAAGATGAAGAGCTCCAACTCTACACTGCAGAATAGAGTCAGTAAGCAGTTAAGCTGGCCTCGTCTTGAAACAGAAACGTCACTGCAACGCAACTTAGATGTTAATGGTACTCATGAAACCTCAATGCCATTAAAAATCATTTCTGGAAACTCATGTATGGTGAACAGAAATCCCGCCGATTTCACCATACCAGAAACAGGGAATATCTATATGATCAGAGGAGAAGATCTGAAATTTGAGAAGAGTACTCTTAAAAATAGGCCTCGTATTGCTATTCCGTATGGATACAAACAACAGAGGAATTTGAAGGGAACTAAAATGAAAGAACATTCAAAGCATTGACACCCTTCATTATTCCACAGTCTGGTAGGTTTTCAGAATATCCTGAATTTCATTATAATGTCATGAATTTATGATACAACTTTTTTTTGATACACCTTATTTCGCCTGTCTTAAATATTTCAGCAGGTGGACTTCTTCACATGCGACCTGAGAATAGCAAATGACTCTTATTCTCAGCCTAGAAGCAGATTTTCGACTTGGAAACTGAAATTCTTTGACTCGGGGAGGGTTGCTCAGATGCCATACCAAAAGCTGAGTGATTCATAAATCAGAAATAGAAGGCCATCATGCATCTATTTAATTAACCAGTTGTAATTAGTATTAATGTGAGCAAACAATATGTTCTTTGTCTCCTATGTTTTGTGTCGTAAAATTTAAATGGGGAAGCATCGCGATATCCCCTTAGTTTTAAAGTATCAGTTTGGTGTCATAAACGGGGAAGCCTCAAAATTGCCCCGTATAGACTTATAATACTGTGGTTACAATTCATACAAGTGCCAAAACCAAGGTAAAAAAATATAGTTTGTTGCTAATATGTGAGTTCCTTCCTACAAAACCAAAAAGTATAATTTAGAGATTGACATTTTATATTCCTTGCTTGTCTCCCTTCCTATCTCTTTCTGTCAATACTTATGAAGTTCATACGCTGTCATTGTAGTAGGATTCATTACACGTTCATCAAAAGCATCTATTCTGCAGTAATGTCAAGTGATGATTAGAAGGGGCAGAAAAAAAATTAGTCATTTTGTTCTCCCTTTGTATGCCAAATTATAATATGCATGACCTTAGTTCAGCAAATGGGGTCGACGTTTCTTTTGTACCTCCTTGTCGATGCTCCTAATTATCCAGAGCAAAACAAGAAAAAATATATATGTGGGTGTGTGAACGTTAGTAGTATGTATCTATTTCCCATAGCTTCAAAAATTCGAGAGAAATTACACAAACTATACTGTAATTACAAAAACGTCACAAAATTTGGAATGATAAATTCAAAATTTACTTGTTAGCTTATGAATGTTCTGTAGTAAATTCACATTTCTACCCTTATTTTTCTTCATATGTGGAGTAAAAAAGTATGCTCAATTAAATGGCTGTGCATAAACAAAGGTAAGATCGATAAATTTTTATAAAAGAAAAAATTAGATTAAAAAATAAATAAAATTTCTTTTATAGCTTAAAAATAACTTATTTTTTCAAATTTTAGAGAAGTTAAATGGGAAATTAAAAAAAATTTAATTTAATTTATGGAGAAGCTTTTTTTTTTTTTTTTGTTCTCTAACAATTTACTTAAACTAAGCTTAAATATGTAATTTCAACTTAGTTTATTTAGTTAAGTCATAAGAGTTTACACGCTTTTTACAGAAATTTTTTTAATTTTTTTCTTTTTTTTTGTAACCCCATTTTAGTGAGTATAAAAACAAGTCTTTCATCTTCGAAAAGTGACGTGTTAATTTGATCTTTGAGAGTTAGCATGTATATAATTTAGTTTCAAAATTTGTGAACTTCATCATAGAATTTTTTTTTCCTATCAATTAAGCCTTTGGATTTTTCAATTTCAAAACAAGTTTAGCTTCTTAAATTTGGCAACTTTATGTTTAAAAAGAACTAATTTATCATGAAATTGACAATTTTGGGGATTAAATTATATAAATACAAATTTTAAAGATCAAATCAATATAAATTGTCACTTTCAGGAATAAAATTATATATTTATTTAAAATTAATTATACAAAATGAATTTTTTTAACAAGTGAATTTAAGTGATACATTTTGCTAAAGAAATCAAAGAGTTACACTTTGAGGATGACATTCGCCTCTCAATTTTTTAAAATATGAAAGTTTACATATGATTTTTCTCGAAGGTGGTTTTGTCCATCCCTTCAATTGTTTTTAAAGCAAGAAATTTATATAAGAATTTTTAAAATAATTTTTGTAAATATGTATTTGTTTTTAGAAATCTATAAAGTTGATTTTGATGAAATTAGTTTTAAATAATTAAATGTGATTAAAATTTATGTCTAAATTAATTTAAACTGCACATTTGCAATAAAACATGTATTTTTTTTATTAGAAAGTAAATTTTTTACGGCTTTGTTTATTTATGGCAGTCTAATTTATAAAATTAATGTAAATTTTCGTAACAAAGAGCATATCTTCATAATGACAAACATAAAAGTACAAGGATAAGAAATTTTTAATTTAAAATTTAACTTATATATATATATGACACAAAACATCGTAATATTCCTTCCAATTAACCTTTTACATAGAACTTGAGCTAAACAAAATTGCAAGAAAGAAACAAGAGGAGGGCATAGAAAGGGAGTTAACGGGTTTTCGGCAAACAAAATAAGAGACCAACAAAGATTGTGTTATGAAAAATTGGAAATAGAGAAGATGAAAAGGAGGGACAGGATTTATACCCATACGACAAAGGGTGGATGAGCTTTTGCATGTTTTGCTTCCCCCTTTTCCTTTTTATTAGCTTTAACTTTTGGAGGGAAACGAGTAGGTCAGATTATACAAATTCCCCCAATTACCCAGACCTCTGCAAATCAACTACTTTAATCATGGCTTATATTCATACATCACAAAAATTGCACCCAAAAATAAAATAAAAAATTCCATGCATTATATTTCATAAGCACAAAAAGGACTCAAATTCTGTATTGCTTAGACACCGTATAATGATTCAACTTTCAGGAATATATATATATATATATAATCTAACAATGTTATATATAGAAGTTACGAGTAACATGGTAACCACCAGATCATAATAATTGGAATTAGATAATGTACATTAGCCGGATTAGAGGTGTAGCGCAAGAACTGCCAGATACAAAATAACACGCGGTTATGAACCTTCGGGTTCAGACCATTTGGCATGCATGCAATCACTGCAAAGGCAGTCTCTGTTTCTTTTTTGAGTTTTTCTTATTATTTCCTTATAGTCTCTCTTTTTTCTTCTCTCATTTTCGATTTGTAATGAATTAAACTCACCAAAAGTAGTTCATCAAGGGACTGGTCTCTTCCATTGGTCGTGGTAATTCTTTTTCTTTTTGAGATTTATATTTACCACTAGCTAATTGTGGTATGTACTCTCAAAGTAGAAATTACTCTCATTTGTATCTTATACGAAAAAATGCTACAAGTACAACTGTACATAACTTTGGTTCCATACCATTTATACATTAATAAATGAATAATTTAAAGTAAATTATTTCAACTCTACACGAAGTCATAAATGCATTTGTGTATATGATTTTGTAAGCACTGTTACTCCGAATTTTAGGCGCCGATTAAGTTTATATTATTTGCAAATACCAAAATTTATTAAATAGTATGTTAAACAACTAAAATGTAGAGAATATATGTGAGTGGGGTACATACTTCATGATCCTAACATTTATCTTATTGAAAACTGATGATGATATTTTTAAAGGGCCAGGTAAAAATGATTACTTGCTTCAAATAGGGAATAACCATTTACAGGTAGAATTAGAGGTCAATATTGTTAAAAAAAAAAATTCTTACAATGGAGATGCAAATATTAAGTATAATTAAGTACGACTGGTTGATTCTTTAGAATGAAATAATAATAATAGATCAATTCATAAATAATTTTCCTTCGAAAAAATAAGAAATAGTTAAAGTGTGAGTACAGTTTGTGAAACTAGGAGAAAATTTTCATTATGTCGACATGTTTGCCTATAGTAATTTATACCAACCCTAAAGAAACAAACAAACTTCCACTCCTTTCCAAGTTTGTATGCCTAATGCCCGATGATAAAATTCTTGTTCTTGTAAGAATTTCATGCAAAATAATTTATTTATTTTTGCTTGAGTATGCAGTAGAAGAACCCTTTTATTTTCTGTTAGTGTAGGTAGCTGTTTCTTCTTTAATAGAATAAAATATGATTAGTTAGTTTGGATATTGAAATAGAAATTGGTGCATATACATGCAATCACTAGTAAACCATGACAAGGTCCGGTTTCAGGCATTGTGAGGAAATTAACAAGAAAGAGTCAAGAAATTATGCTCTGAGCACGGGCAAAAGAAAAAAAGATATGTACCATAAAAGGCATCATGTTATTGAAGAAAGTAAATCCCTACAAACTCTAGTAGCTACCTTATTGACAAGACCTTGGATCCAGAAATATCAAATACATGTAACCCCCCATTTATGAGATAACAACATCAATGTCTGCCTTTGGTACAAGTAGTGCTTAGTCCCTCTAGAGTCTAGTGCACACTCATCAGCCTTTTCTGATTCCCACTCATACAGTAACTCTTCAGACCATTTACTAGTGACCACATTTTGAGGATCCATTTGTTGTTTGGACGCAATAATTAACTTGATTAAACTTGGGATACATATGCTGCATCCCCCTCCATATTTGAAGAATGCAATATTTGAAGCTTTATGAAGCTTATAATTAGACATCCATTGTAGAAATGTATAAAATCCAGCCACAAAAGAGAAGAAAATATCATAATTTAGGTGTTTTTTTTTTATAATCAGGAAAGGTCATATAGCCGTATTCTTGAAGAATAACTGAATAGTTCTTCACTTCTTGGATTCTAAGATCCAAAAGCACGTACAGTACCAATTATTTTTTTATATATATGAATCAGCATGCAGTTTGCTTTGACATGTATCCCACCTTATGTTAGCCAGATCATAGGCCATTATCCTTCAACCCGTGTGCTGTATGCATTTTCCAGTTAACAGGTTTTATAAATTTTTCTATCATTTATCTGAGTTGATGTTTATGATGAGATATATTAGAGTTTTAGACTTTGTTAATGTATGCTCAAAGTTGTTATATCCCATGCTCTAGCTGATATAATATATTTCAGAGCCTAAGACAAAATTGGGTTGATATCCAATGAAGTCATAGACTCCAGCACAGGAGGCCTCTTAGGAAACTTGGAATAATTTCTACACACAGCCATGTGTCTTGATGGCTACCAAGTTATGTCAGCAAATTGTTCCGCTTTTCATGCTCTATGTACACATCTTGAACAGAAGCATCACCCGTGAAATTGTAGGTTATGCTCCCTTGAACCTGTGGCACTATGCTCTAAAGATAATTTTACCTTTAGATGTACGTTAACGTTGATGAATCAGGAAACTTATGATAACATAGTGCTCATTAGCTGTCATTGTGATTACGTGCTAGCTAGTTACTATACATTTCTATGATGGTAATAAAGAAATAGAAATAAGTGCAGGGATATATAGACAAGGTATATTTGGGCTGGAATAAAATCATGCAATCATAGATCAACAGTAACAAATTTGACACTTTATTTGATTCAGAATATTTGCATCGAAAAGAAAAGGAAAAGATATATTCTTTGCGGTAAAAAAATCATTTGTTTTTATCAAAATAAATCATTACCACGCCGCGTGTATTCAAATAGTTGAGATAAGTGAAAATCTAGAAAAAAAAAATATATTAAATTACAATGCTGGCTGTTTGACATACTAATTAAAAACATCATAAATTTGGTTCCGACTTGTTATGGTTCTATTAATACACAGTGATATTCATGACGAGCTTTGGAAGAATTAATAATCTCAAGGAAGCTTAAAATACTGGGTTTTCACGTTTCAGTTTGGACTGTAAATATATTTATAATACACTTAAAATAATGTTTTGTATCACATCATTAATTTTATTTCATATTTTTTAAATTGCAAGAATTGTGGGAAAAAAAAAAAAAAACTGTGCTTAGC